TCCCGCGCCTCGCTCAGCCAGTGAGCGGGAACCGGTCTGTATGTGGGATCCGAACCCTCGGGTGGGAGCGCCACCGCGCTTCCCAAGCGGCACACTATTCAGTGCGCCACCGGGCCGGCCCAAAAGTGACTGTTCTTATAGAACATCTAGTTAAAAATTTTTATGCCACTGTTACTCCTGATGTATGTAGGCAACAAACTGAATTTAATTTAACCTCATTCGGTAATTAGGAACATCAGCAAAATTAATGGCATGGGTATTTTCAGCCCCCAAATAGAGACAACTCCATATGGGGTTTTTTCAAATGATTCTTCCCTGAGGCCATTAGTGAAGAAATCTGCCCCCCCCTTTTTTTTTTTTTTTTTTTTTTAAAGCAGAAGATGTCCATACCCTCCAAAAATGAATAGGGCTATTAACAGCAGACTTATTTATTTTGTCAAAGAGATTTACAGGACAGTTTCCTAGTCTATTATGAAAGAGGGAAGAGCAGCATGTTTACATAAGAATCTATTTTTGCAACTCACAGAATGGTCTGGGGACTGGCAGCCCCAGTACCACTTGGGAGCTCTTTTAAAATGCAGAATCTCAGGGTCATTGTTGGACCTAATGAAGTAGAATCTCCATTTTCACAAGATTGCCAGGAAAATTCATGTGCCCAGGAAAGTTTGAGAAGCACTGCTCTGTATTGTATTTTTGCACAGGTTACTTTGCCATGGGCTTTAATCATCAAGCTTCTCATCTTACCATGGTGGTATTGATCTTACTAGGGCTTTATTTAGCTTGTGATGGATGGAGTTACCTGGCTTTGGAACAAAACCCACTATGAAGGACTATTTCAAAATAATTTTGATTAGTCAGCCGGATTGCTTTAGGAGTTCCCACATTCTTTCTGGTGCTTTCTTTAGTTGCCGGTTAATTCCAAGCATTATTCCAGCACACCCTGTATCCCCCCAGAAGGCGCTGCACATGTTTTTGTGCTCCAGTGCCACTTTGCTCTGGGTTAAAAACCAAGAACCACTGCCTGTGCACAGCAGGCCAAATCCACAGGCTATAAAGCCTCAGTGACAATTATTCCAAATTCCATAGCTGTGATTTCTAATCGGACTTTGAAACTTAACCTCTTTGCCATCCCCTTATTACCAGGAACTACTCTCCTGGAAACCAGCTCACTCTTTTTATGTTTCTGCCTCCCTCCTGTGAACCTGTAAAAACCACATCTAACTGACTATTATCTGGGGAGTTGAAAACCTTGCAGATATTATTGACTACTGAGAACTTCTCAGAACCTGCTTGAAATATATTTCCCAGCCCCGCCTCTTCCTCTTCCACCAACATAAACAACGTTGCAGCATAATGACTAATCCTAGTTCACTCAAAAATACTTAAAATCCTCAGAGACAGGAAATGAAAATCATAAAGTGAAGACTGATTGGGTGACCCTCATTCAAAGTTTGAATTCTTTGATGTTCATGAGTTCCTTTGTTTTCATTTATATTTTGCCTTCTATGTTTGAAAGACTTTTTTTTTTTTGAAATCAGGAAAACTGCCCATTTCACTTAAAAATATCACCATAGCTACACATCATTTCTGATTAATAAATGTCAAATAATGATAACCATAATGACAGCTCTCTTTAAACAAGAGAAAATAGTTAGAGATACATTTTTATGTTGCAAGGAAACAGCACCACTCTTACAGTGCTGAGTCCTGTCTCTGCCATAGCTGTTTGTGACAGTGAACTTATAATATGCCAAGCTCTGCATTAACTCACCATCCTTGAGTAGCAAAAATAGTCACACAAACAGAGGATTTCATTACAAAACAAAAAGGTGTTGGAAAAATATATATCCACAGATTTCTATGGGTACCTATACAAGCGTACTTTAAAAAGTTCATGGAAAAATAGAATTGAAATACTAATCTTTCCATGAACTTTCTGAAGTACCTGCATATAGAGAGAAAGACTCTGGTTCTACCTGGAAGGCCTAGGGTACCAGGGCCAAGGGTTAAAGAAAGATGTTTATTAAATGAAGATGAGGGACAGGTAGGGAGACATCCAGATGGCAAGAACAGCAGGAGGAGAGGCTTGGAGAAGTGATACTGGGGTATGTAGTGGGAGCTAGTAAGAGGTGAGGACCACCAGAGTCTACACTGCAAGGCACACCACTACCCATCTTCTGGAATGGC